AGCTGGACGAAATGATCCACATGTCATACACTACAGCGAGGAGAACAACATTATACTCCCTATGGCTCAGATAAACCCCCCTGAGCCTACCCCGGGGAGTCAGCCGAGAGAAAGTGAGGGTCCTGAGAGTTCAACCCGGCCACAGAGACCAGTGGCAAGCCGGCCCCATGATGATCAGACTACGTCTGCTGAGGGCCACACCCGTGCTGAAGAGTTTACCCATGATTCGCCAAGCGTAGCCACAACACAAGACGCTGACGATGAGGGCTCTGGGAGCAAGGCTGAGGACGACAATGATGATGATGATGAGGATGACAACAACGCCAATGCAAAGGGCAAGAAAGTCGAGAAAGCCCACGCTAAGAAAGGACGACTCGTTATCAGGCTTTCTCGGGCTACAACACAAGAGCAGTCTCACCAAATCAAGGACACTCGAGGAAATATCATCAGTGAGACTCGCTCCAAGGTGCGTCATGACCTTGCCTCATCATCTACTCCTGTGCAAAGAGTGCAAACCGTGAGCAACCTGGCAGAAGAGTTAGCTTTGTATGACAGCTGCTCTGACCTAGACACAATAAACCGGGCTAACCCCATAGGTGCAGAAACTGATATTTTCAGTTTCCGGGTAGAAGACGCAGCATCTAGCCCAACTGCGCATGCACAAGCCTCACCTAGCCACTCTGCTGCCTCCCAACAGGTAGTAGTTTCACAAATAGGGCACATTATACCCACCTCGCTGTCTCCCTACGAAGCAGCTGAGGATTTACTTTGTGGTCTTCCGCCCCAGACCACTACCCCTCCTTCTAGCACATTGAGTCTAGTTTCCACCTTCCCAACATTTTCCACTTTTTCTAGGACACATACACTGCTCACACCACTGCACACAACAGGTGCACTTTACCTGTCCTCAACGATCGGAGATACGTCAATGATGATCGGAAGTCCTGCTGCTCAACAGATATCTCCATCATTATCTGCAGGCCACACTTCGGTAATCTTTACTGATGCTGTGACAACGGTTACTACCCCTGTAACCGGACACCCTGACCCTACCGACCTTTCTGTCATTTTGCAGCGTTTCTTGGATTCCACCATTAAGCCATGGGTGCACGAAGCAATAACCGCTCGGGCACAGGAATTCAGGAACACCCCAGCGTTGCATAATGACATCACCCAACCCCAACCATCATCCTCACATACCCAACAAACCCAACCACTTCCTATCATACCTACCCAACAAACTTCTGAACCATCCATAACCCTACCCCACTCACCTACTGCTTCAAGGGGAACCCAGGATACAGAACTAGTTTCCTCCCCTACGTCGACCACACCTTTTCCTGACCCTAAAACTTTACCGTTCGAGGTACTCGAAACCCTTATGCTAGATCAACTACTAGCCACCGAAGAAGGCAACCTAACCCAGAAACAAAAAGACCTTCTTCGGATCCTTAAGCCTGACAGCTCATGCCGTGATAGTCTCCTCGGTCACAAACGTTCGCATGAGGACCCCGATGACTCGGATCCTCATGAGGGGGAGAACAAGAGACAAAGGACACTTGAGCGTGATGCGTCAACAAGCCTACCCTCTACGCAATCCAACCAACCTGAATCCTCGAACAATCAGCCCCCACCATCCACTCATCATAAAAGCCAAATAGCCAACTCACCCACATCTAGCCCGGTCGAGCTAGAAACAACACTCCTAGGCTCATCTTTCATAGATGTAGACCAAGGATGGAGTGGAAGTCCTGAGGTTGCTACTTCGAGTACACCTTTCTATTCAGGCCATCAGAAAGAACCTAGTTCTAATCTGATGATAACGGGTAATCCAAGTGATCCCGGTGTTACTATTGACAGAGCGCCACAACAGCAGCAAGCTCCCTCTAGCCAACCTGATGATCGAATGCATGACGAACTTGAAGAAATCCTTGTTGACAACAAGTGGTCTCGGCTATGGACAAATGTGGATGAAATACAGCGAAGAGCCTATCTCAGAGAGCTCCTAGCTAAATGTGCTGCTGATGTAATACTGCTTAATGATGATGAACTTAAGGAAGGAGAAAACTATCAGGAACCTCCCAAGGAGCTGGAATCCATCATCAGACAAACAGCGGCTCGAATGCCCAGGAGTGAAAAGCCTTGGGAGAATATTAACATCAATGCTCCTTTCCAAGAGGAAATCAGAAAGCATATATGGCGGAAAGATGACGAAGTCAAGGAATTGGACGAATTGAAAATCTGTGGACTCAATCATCTGAGAGGAAAGAACAAGAGTGGTCAATTGTTTCTGCTTAGTCATCATTACATGGGGAAACAGAGAGAAGTATGGCAACATGAACTGCACACCGCAAAAGACCCAGTATGGAGTATACTAAATGTAGCCGAAATAAATTATCAAGACATCCCACTCTCTGTTTACCGCCTGCAACGCTCCGACGGGACGGAATTTACCTGCAAGGAAAATGACCTTTATATGTTAAAGATGGATGACATCTATCATATGTATCTAGCCTTCCAGGAAATTCCAGTCACCTGGGACAAATCTACACAAGAGGGATTCAAGGCACTCAAGCGCTTCATGATCAGACAAGCCAAATTCTTTGCTTCCCATGATCTTCAGATGGCCCTAGAAACAAATTTGCCAAAGACAAACCTCTCAAGACCAAAGCTTTACGGGCCAGAACTTGAGAACTATCCTGCCTATTACATCTTCGATCGCCCGTTAGCTATCATCTATCTTAACCACAAAGGTGAGAGGCGCTTGTTGGTGGCAGAAGAAGTCAACAAGTATTGTGATGGAACGCTGAAGATCATTAAGGAAAAACTGCAACCTATCAGAAAAGAATTTGAAGAAAAACAACAGAAGTATGCAGATGCCACAGACGATGAACTAACAGAAGCAACCAGAATTGACAAAGTGTTGAAAGCCATCGAGAAACAACTTGACAGAAGAAGGTCTCTCAGAAATTACGAGCATGCACTAAATCTCAGAAAGCATTATTTTAAAGCTCAGAAGTGAAGAAAAGAAGAAGCAAGAACATCTGATCACAAAGGGGGAGATTGTTAGAGATATTTTCATTATATTGTGATCAATGTTTCTTAGCTCTTTATATTTAGCATTTTAATTTAATAGACTAGCTAGAATAATGAATAGGCCTTTTAAGGCAATTATGTAATAAAGGTTTTATACCTTTTTAGGTATGGGCCTCCTAGGAAAAGGAGCCCAAATGATTGTAAAACCTACCTTTCCCATCAGGCTATATATATGCCTTAAGGGAAAGGCTAGGTTAAGCTTTTCGATATTCCAAGTGCCGCAGTGCCTATTCTCGTGATAGAAGTTTTACGCTAACATTCATATCATTCTGTAAACTTCTTCATCACATCAATGGAAAGCTTCATTCCCAGATCTATCTTCCATACATACATTTTATAGACTTGAAAACAGGGACCTAACAGAGATGCTCTTATTTTCAACTAGCAACATCTACTGTCAAACAAAAAAGCCAGCAACATTTAGAAGCTGTTCTCTTCGCCTGATCTGAATGTTTCTGATCTGAATTTTTTAAGTTCTGATCTGATCTGATCTGAATTTTTCTGATCTGATCTGATCTGATCTGAATCTGTCTGATCTGATCTGATCTGATCTGAATCTTTCTGTTCTGATCTGATCTGATCTGAATGTTTCTGATCTGGTCTGATCTGATCTGAATGTTTCTGATCTGGTCTGATCTGATCTGAATGTTTCTGATCTGATCTGAATCCTTCTGATCTGATCTGAATCTTTCTGATCTGATCTGATTCGAATATTTCTATGATTATAATTATAATTATAATTATAATTATAATTATTATAATTGCAATTACAAATATAATTTAAATAAAATTATAATTATAATTGTAATTATAATTACAATATTTATCTCTATAATTGTAACTATAGTTATCAATATTATTATAATTACTCCGTAAAATAATTACAATAGTAATAATAATAATAATAATAATATTAATAATTATAATAAAAATAATAATTATAATCATAAATTATAATTATAATATAATTATAAGTATAATTATAATTATTATAATTATAATTAATAATAATTATAATTATATTAACATTAATTATAATATTATAATTTAATAATAGTAATATAAATACAATTAATATTATTATAACGACATTATTATATTAATATTATTATTACAATAATATAATAATAATATGATTATTATTATAATTAGTATTATATTATTATAATATTATATTATAATTATAATTATAATCATAATTATAATTATGATTGTAATTATAATTTTAATTATAATTAATTACAATTATATTTATAATTAATTATAGATATAATTATAATAATTACAATTGATTATACTTATAATTATAAGAATTATAATTGTAATTATAATTATAATTATAATTACATATAATTATAATATAATATTATAATAATATTAATCATATTATTATTATTATAATATTGTAATAATAATAATAATAATAATAGTGTTCTTAACAATTGCATTTATATTACTATTATTATATTAAAATATTATAACTATTATTAATATCTTTTTTTATCATATTATTATTAATATTATTAATAATAATTATATAATAATAATCATAATAGTAATAAAAATATTAATAATAATAATTAATATTTAATATAATAATAAAAATGATAAATCATGTTTGAACTTTTCTGATCTGATCTGAATGTTTCTGATCTGATCTGAATGTTTCTGATCTGGTCTGATCTGATCTGAATCTTTCTGATCTGATCTGAATCTTTCTGATCTGATCTGATCTGATCTGAATCTTTCTGATCTGATCTGATCTGATCTGAATCTTTCTGATCTGATCTGATCTGATCTGATCTGAATTTTTCTGATCTGATCTGATCTGATCTGAATAAAATAAGAATAAGTAATAAGTAATAAAAATAAGACGAATAGAACAGCACCTTACTTACACCTACTAGGGAGGGCCTGACCTAATACCCGGTTTCATATCTTGCCGATTCAGTGCTTCCCAGATTCTCCGGCGGTGTCCGTAGGTGATTCGAAACAGAGCCCGAGTATAGTATGCAGGGTTACTCTGTAAGCGTAAGTTCACGCAAAGCTCCCAACTTTTTCCAAATTTCTCAGCACCCAAGGATTCCAATACACTCTTATCTTCTATCTTTCATCGCTTCCAAATTGAGCCCATCCCGCATTAGGGTTCCTCCTACTCGTGTTTCTGTCACTCCTTATCGCCGAGATTTAGCTATACTCAAGGTAATTTTTACTATCCACACTGGCAGAACAGTTCTTTATAATACGAATTCCAAATCCCTGAAATTGATTGTCTTCAGATTGGGTCTTTCAGTTAGCAATTTATGAATTGGAGTAAATAATTTATGTATTGGGGTTAAATCTCCTTACACCCAAATTGAATTTTCTTTATGCTTTAAAATTATGCCATAATTAGTATGTTGTTATTATAGAAGGCGGAGATTGAGAACTATTGTGGTTCACTTTGGGTGTTAGGTACATGCAACTGCTGCAGAGACTGAACAGCCAAAATGGTGGGAGAAAAGTGCCCCAAATATGGTTGACATCCACTCAGCAGAAGAATTTCTAGATTCTTTAAGTAAAGCTGGAGATAGATTAGTTATTGTTGACTTTTATGGTACATGGTGTGCTTCTTGTCGAGCATTGTTTCCCAAGGTGAGTTCTTTCCTTGCCTCTCACTCATCCTGACATTGATTGTATGCAAACATTATACTGTACATTTAAAAAGACTTTTTGTTTGTAAATAAATGCTTATTAGGATTTTCCTGTAATTGTATTAAAATAGATCTCAGTAATCTCAGACATAAATTTGATTACATTGTCATTACAGTGTTAAAGTCAAACATAATCATGGTCCTTAGAGTCAATAAAAACACTACTAGGGTAAAAACAAAACAAGTAACATGGTCATCAGAGTCACCGCAAAAATGCTACTCCTATGGTAAAAAAAGTCACATTTTGGTCTATTGCTTTTCATTTAGTCATAGCATTGTCATTACTTCATGCTTATTTCCTGTACCCTGTTGATCAGCTTTGCATGATCGCTGAAGAACAACCGGAAATACTTTTCTTAAAGGTGAATTTTGATGAGAACAAGTCATTGTGCAAAAGCTTAAATGTTAAAGTGCTTCCATTTTTTCATCTCTATAGAGGAGCCAATGGCCTTGTGGATTCTTTTTCTTGCTCTCTTGCCAAGGTACTGCACTTTGAGCCATGTGCATTTAATATGTTACTTTTAATGTGAGTGGTCATCCCGCCATTCAGAGCATGTTTGAATACATTTAGAGAAGGGAAAATGAAAACTTCTTATAAGATGCTCTTTTGGTTTGGTAGCAGAACAGCGGATAATATTAAATCAAGATTTCCACCAAAAAGAAAATAATTTGTTAAAATGAATAGAGCACTAATAGTTTTCGCTTGTTCCATTTTATTACTGAATTACAAATAACAATGTATGCAAGAGATGCAGCCATTAGCTCAAGCTAAGGTCACTTGAAATTATTGGTCGACCTGGCCCAAGTTCCGGACTGAGACCAGTCGTTAAATGGTCATGACCAGACCATTTTCAGTCACAAACCAGAACTGGTGCAGTGAACCAGTTCAAATCAAGTCTGTTTTAGTTCTGGTTCCTCCAAATACCGTCCGGATTGACTGGTTCTTGTTTCTGTTTTTCTAATTGGCTAAGAAACGGTGTAGGAACTGAACCAGATGGTTTCCCTACACCGTGAACGGAACCGGGGGGTGCATGGTTGTGGTTCCTCCCTTTCATGACCTGTAATCTTACTTCTTACCTGCTCCACCCTTTCCGCAACCTGGAATCGGACCTGCTACACCCCTATTTCGAATTGGAAGGTGAAACTGTTGTACCATAGCACATAAATAAGAAGGTTGCTTCCATAATTTAATGTACTAAATACACTCTGCAGCTCCAGAAATTAAAGGATGCAATTGCAACATACAGTCCAGAGAATTTGCTAAAAGACATTGATGATGAAAGTCACAACTTTGGTGGAATATCTGCATCTCATAAAAACACGTCATCTGGATCTTCTGCTCCGGTGTAGAATTTTGCTGCAAGGACTGTTTGGTGATATGGCATGGATTCCTAACCAGCTTCTGTGAATTGTCTGCATCATCAAATAATCTGTCATCTTGTATTTCCTGAATGTTTAATTATCATCAAATTCCATAGTTTGACAGAAGATGAGTGGCGTCTGGTTTGAATTCTTTGTACATAACTGTTCTCACAGCATTAATGCAAATTTACAGTAAAGTTGGCACTGTAAATTTGATCATTCTTTCGCAATTATTTTCTTTCAAGACCCGACTTCATTTCTTTTCTAGTTTTCTATAGAAATCTGTCTACATTGTTTCATATCCATTTCATAAAAATGGGTTTCCAAACTATGTACCTGGTCCAACAGTTTGGCTCGTTTTCAAACATTTAATTTAACATAAAGTAAAAAGATAAACGAGGCATTGGAATGGATATTGAATAATGACTCCATGTGGTATATACCGACAGTAATTATACTGTTTATAAGGAGTCAATAATACTAGAACTTAAAATAAGTACTGAACTTAAAATGCAAGTCTTGATTGACTGTGGACATGTCGTTTATTTGTCCCGTATGATGAACCATTTCCTTGCATACCAGTTTCAATAGAATCAGTTTTTTTATAACATCAAATTGATCAAAATTTATATTGAACAAACTGGTCAGGTGTATTGAAACTAGTTACATTTTTCATTCATTCATTGCGGCAAAAAATTCATTTCATTTGAAAACGTTTCAGACTATTTTTGAGCAATTTTTCCTACATTAAAAAAAATAGTGTTTATGTCCAAATTGAATTTCGATTTTTGTTACTCCCGCAAAATGTTATTCTCATTTCTGAAATTGTATATTGAAATGGATGTGTATATGTACGTTGCCTTTTAAACAAAATTCGCAAATGTACCAAAACCACAATTGGGTATTAAGTAGTAACCTTAGGAAACCCACAACTTGCGGGGATGTAGCTCACTAGGTGGGAAGAGGGTGCTATAAGGATTTGGAAGAACCTCACTCTATTTCCACCTGTGTATGATCATTGCCCAATTTATATATTACCATATAAATGTCCATGCGATTCTAGGGGGGCTCATGCAGGGGTAGAGCCAAGGGGAGGTCGGTTCTGAAAGATTGAGAATATAGAGCACTAAAATACATTCGGTTCTGAAAACCTCACTCCAAACAAGGATTTGTATTGGAACCTCGCTCTATTTCCACCTGTGTATGATCATTGCCCAATTCATATATTACCATATAACTGTCCATGCGATTCTAGGGGAGGCTCAGGTAGGGGCAGAGCCAAGGGGAGGTCAATTCTGAAAGATTGAGAATATAGAGCACTAAAATACATTCGATTCGATATATTATAGCTCTTGTAACTCATTACAAGTAAAAAGCTACAACTTCTAGAAAATAAAGATCATGTAAAATTAGTAAAATGCTACAACTTCTAGAAAATAAACATTATGTAAAATTTGATGCGTAATACTCTCTCCGCCCGAGAGACGTAGGGATGATCGGGACATGGTTAGCGTGGAGAGGCTAAACGCTCCATTCGATGACATGGATTTGGGTCATACGGCAGGTACGCCACTGAAAGAGGGTATCAATCGAGCGACGGTCCGACCTCCGCCTGAACCACCACCATGGGTTGTACGAGGTGCTAGAGTCCCTAAAAGTTTTCCTAGTAATTTTTTTTGTTTGTCATTTGTTTTCTTGTGTTCATCTTTGTTGTTGGTTTTGACAATTTGTTTGAGTTTTGTGCCTCTCTTTATGTCATTGGGTATGGTTGGATCTATGAGAACATGTTTGGCTGTGTCAAGCCCACTACATGGTTAGCGATTCGTGTTGCTCTTTCAGGGGTGACCGTCTCAAAGTCTCGCCATAGGGTTACAGTCGTAGTTGTTGAGTTTCAGTTGGTGTCAATTTTATTTTCCCTTTGCTTGATGTAATGATCTTGAATCTTTTGATATGAATAGAGGCATGTTTTGATGATAAAAAAATACTCTCTCCGCCCCTTAAAACTTTGTCAACTTTCCTTTTTTAATTGTCCACTAACTTTGTTATTTTCCCTTTTATGTAAAGAATTTGTAATTCTAATTACTTCTCTTTCTTTTGCGCAAACCTCAATCACACAATTTTTACTATTAATCCTCGTACCGATCAAATTTGGTCTATTTTAAGGGACAGAGAGTATTGATTATATTCTCAAATTTTGAAAATTATTTCTAAATCATTCATTACTTGGTGAAGTTTATAATATATACTACGTAGTACATATTATGTAGTATGTATATATCAAATCTATAACTCTATTAGTCTCATTAAACTACCCATGGTTGTCGATGATGCAGATTGGCGCGTGCGCCATGTGGCGTGCAAAATCACCCATGCGCCATGAAAATAGCTCGTGACGATGAATATACAAGTGGCGACGCCATTCTCTCGCCTTCGCCATCGCCATGGCGTTGCACCGTGTTATTTATCAAAACATAGCCTTTTTGCGCATGAAGCGCCAAAGCGATGATGCGAAACTAGCGAACTCTTTAATCGCCTGAGGTGGGAAAGGGCTTTTAGCCTCTTTTTTTAATTTATGTTTGAGCCTATTTTTAATAATAAGCCCATATTTATTATTTAGCCCATCCAAATAATAGGTTAAAACAACTTAAACCCATGTTAAACCCTTTTAAGTCATAATAAGTCTTCTTTCGTGACTTCTTCGTGGAAACTGCATTCAACGATCAACCCACAGAAGCCAACAACTCATAAGGTGTCTTCTTCATCATCATCTTCCCATGTAGGGGTGGACTCGGGCCGGTTCGGGCCCGGTTCGGGCCTGGGCCCGGCCGGGCCTCGGGCCAAGAAAGTTGGGCCCGAGCCCGAACCGCCGGTGGGCGGTTCCGGTTCCGGTTCCGGGCCAAACCGGGCCGGGCCTAACCGGTTATTAGTTTTTTTTTTTTTTGGCTCTTCTATTTAACCCCCAACCCCTCCCCCTCAACCCCAAACCACCCCAAACCACCTCAAATGGCCCAAAATACCTAATCCAACCCAAAACTTAAAAAAAATTCAAAAAAAAAAAAAATAAAAATCGGCCCGAACCGGCCGGGCCGGTTCGCCAAAACCTGGGCCCGAGCCCGAACCGCCCAGCAGCCGGGCCGGGCCGAACCGAACCGGTGGACCCACCGGGCCCCGAGCCGGGCCGGGCCAAACAGTAACCGGGCCGGGCCGGTTCCAGGCCGGGCCACCCGGCCCGAGTCCACCCCTATTCCCATGTTCTTTCCTTTTCAGATTGTAGTTTACATTCATTTTGTCATCTTCATGTTGATCCTTTCTTTTTATTCTTTCGGTCTATCTTCTTTCTTTACTTTTATCACTTCTAGTCATTTGCGTAATTTATAGTTTTCTTTGCTTCTTATACATTCTATACTTTATAGTTCTCTTTGTTTCACTTATTACAGTCTATAACTCTATATCTTCTTATTATCATTTCATATTTTAATTATATAAAACTTCATTCTGAGTATAATCCAACTCAATTAATAGTTTCATACTAAATATAATTTAAACTATTTTAACTTCACATGTTTTAGTTAGAATGTTGTTATTCAACTTTTTTATCATATTTTGGTGATTGAGTGTTGCAATTATAGTCTATACTTAGTTTTTTTCTTGTCACGTGACGTCGCCATATTTGTGCCATCGCCAAGAAAAATGCATGTGCGCCATGCGCCATGACAGCTATGAAACTACCATTTATACTCCCTCCGTCCCTTATAACTTTGCCAACTTTCCTTTTTTGGTTGTCCCAAAAACTTTGACACTTTCCCTTTTAATCAATCAATTTGTGGCTCATGTTATTTCTCTCTCCTCTACACAAATCTATACCACACAATTTTTACTTTATTATTCTACGTGCCAGTCAAACTTGGCAATCCTTTTAGGGACGGAGGGAGTATAAGATAACACGGGTCTATTGCCCCCTGCCCCCTTGACAACTCGGCTGTTATAAAATAGGATGGAAGCATTTAAAAAAACCAGACCATTACTTGTACATTTCCTTCATCAACTCTTGGCATGTTTCATCAAAATCAACAAAAGCTCAACATTCATGGATGTGTTAAAAACACTACAACTAGGGTAGTGATTCAGTTCCCGGTTTCCTTGATAACAAACAATATGTATTTCCGCCTTCATCGTTGGCAAGGAAAGGCCCTATTTGCTGTGGAATTATACAAAACAATACCACTACCACCATCAATTCTGTACAGAAGCAAAACTTCCTGATCGATTCATATCCTCCCATCATCAGCTAGGGAGCCTCCTTTCGTATGCGAGCTTTAGTATTGAACCCTACCATCACCTCATTCTCCAATGACCTCCCACTACATCTTTGATATTTTGGCGATGTGCCAGACAAAAATCTGCTGCTCTGGCTGCCCACATCATGCCCCAGGGTTGACATGTGACCTGTTTCCATTATAAGGTCCCCTTCAAGAATCCGAAGCACCTGAGAGTATACAAATCACACATTAGAACCCCTGCTTGGCTTTTTAGGTTGCGGTGCGAAATGAGAAGTGGACTGACTTACCTGAGACATTCTTGGCCTTGAGTGGGGGTCCCTCCGTATGCACAAGGATGCAGCATGCAACATACAATGAACTTCTTGTTTGTCATAACAGTTCTGTATCCTTGGATCTATTAATTCTTCAATCACATATTCTTCCAACAACGGGCGTGCCTGTATGTTACAAGTCAAAGACAGAGAAGGGTAAGTAAACAAAAAGGAAACCCTATATATTCTGTCAGTTCATGGAATGTATTTTGGGCTAAGCATGTCTACATCATTCTGAAGGTTTTAGAAAATATAGTGACTTTAACCAATAAGTATACCACAAAAGGAACATGAAGATGATAGGATATAATACTAATAGTCAGAATTGAGCTTTTGTAGAACGAGAATCCCCCCTTCACCACGAAGATTACTTTTGACAGTGTGTTTGAGTGTCCAACCCCAGAGATTGGTAATTTGTCCACTTTGAGTATACTCAGGGCCAACAACATCAGGCACATGCACATTAAGTATGAGGATCAAACCTTTTAAGAATCTTTTTGGAGTCGGTCTCAATATAATATAGTATCAGAGTTTGGTCAAATTAGGTTGTTTGGAACTCATGGTTTCATGTATGTTTAGCCTATTTATCCACCTCTCAAAGCCACCCATCCCAATTTGGCTTGTAAAGGCGTGTTAAGTGTCCAACATCATATGCTTACCATATTTATATTAA